TCTGGTGGCCTAAGGTGAGAGTTGGGGTTATCACCAGTGATGACTGTCAACATGAGGTTGACAGTTTTGAGATGTCTGATGAATTATTGGTTCAAATGCATGAAATCCAGCTGAGACTGGATTCATCGATTTCCAGTATTGTAGTTGATAGTAAGACCTTTTATAACTCATTAGCCTGCGCTTTACTTTAGGATTAGTGGGGTTAGTAAAATAGGATACTAAACTTAAAATTGAATCTTTCTTAACTTTTCTCCCCATAAAGGTTTTGACCTCCTCCCCTGTAGTCTTAATTGTGAGCTTTGACACCTAGGTATATATTAATAAAGACGTGGTTTGATGACCATTTAATGACCACCTCATTCCAAGAGAAGCCCTTGTAAGCTGTATAAGCAGAGGTCAACCTCACTAACACCCGGTTATTTTGTTCAGGAATCAGGCCAGAAATATGACTGAACCATTCAATTCAGAAAACAGAAATAAGGGTTACCCAAAGTAGGCATCCAAGGCGGACAAGTTAAATATTAAAGAGAAAAACATTGATTTCTTACAGTGAACATCTCAACATATTTACTTAAGCATTTAACTAAACTTGAATACAGTGTGTTGGAGTGCAGTTTCCACTGGGTCTGTAGTGTACACCGGTCAATCATCACCATAAAACCACCTTCCTTCTATTGCGGAGGTCCCTCTCATTTAGCCAAAGCAGCTACATGCTGACATGTTGAGATATGGGGGTGTTCCATCATAATTTGGTCCTTGTCAGAGTTGCCCAGATCCTCATGTTTGTCCATTTTTTTTGGGCTTCTGTCACATCAGCTTCAAGAACTGACTTTTCACTTGCTGTCTAATGTAATTCACCCCTTGACAGATGCCATTGCAACAAGATAATCAGTGTTAGTCACTTCACCTGTCAGCGGCCTAATCTTTCGGCTGTTTAGTTCATCACCAGCCACCTTGCTCCTTGTTTCTCACTTATCCTAATTCCTGTTTGTTCCTGCTGCCTGCTTTTGAATTTTCTCCTTCCAAAAATTAGATGACAACTAAATTGCAGTCTCATATCTGTACACGACATAGGTATGTACCTAGACTCAGATGGCGATCAGCCTAGTTTAACTGTGCAGAGAATTGATTCATTGTGTCTCAAGTCCTCAATAAACTACTCCCTGAGATGCTGTTTTACAATAGCAAAATCCATCTTTTATGATCATGGCACGGTCAAGATCACCAAAAATTTAGGCTAGTGACAAATTTCAAATAAAACAAAGCAGTCTTTACTTTAACCTGCCCCCAAATAGCTTATGCTATTGTTTTTAAAAGGCTTCCCAAACCTGAGGAAATGTAATATAGAACAAAACAAGCATGGAGGGAGTAGTTATTATGCTAGGGAAGTGTGATGAAGGTAAGGTCAATTTAATCAAACTAAATGTATGTGTGCATCTCTTTTTAAGCTCTATCCTGTCTGTAGCCTCTCAGATTGTCATTTTCTTCCACCATTAAATTCAGTCTTCTCATTTCCTGCCTTGCTCTTTTTAAAATCTCTCTCCTTTCATCCTCCTTGTCTCACTTCACGAATGCTTGTCGTTTTTCTTCTTCCTCCTCCAGAATCTTTCCCTCCTGTTTTCTGTCCTTACCCAACAAGCGTCTCTAAATCCATGTCCTTCTGTTCTCCTGTTTCTCTTCTCCTCGAAAACATTCGTGAAAATGTAATGTGCATTTAAACATTACTAAATCACAGTCATTTTGTGCCATTACGATAATTGCCATAAACAAACAAGACCATTACAGGAAGATTTGCATCTCCTATGAGCCTCCACAAAGCATTTTGCATTATGCGATATTGGCTGAGGTCTGCCATAAAATGTGCAGGAGTGTTTCACAAGAACAGGGTGCTGTTTCTTTTAGCCTAAATTGAACCAAAACATTCAGAGTGTCTGGTAATGGCAGATGGTGAAAGAACGACAGAGAAAATTGCCTTCATCATGTTTATCCTGAGAATGTGTTTCTTGAAAGTATAAATTGTGTAATTACTGAGTTTCTCATGTTTAAACAAGAAAGATGAAACATAGACAAATGTTTAGTCATGTTTAGTTTATTCATATTAGGAACTAGTAGCCTATTATCTGTCATTTGAACAGAAAAAAAGTACATAATGTACATAATCTTTCACCCACTTTCTCCTTGGTGTGAAAACCTATGTAAACAGCACCAGTGTTGAATACCTCAACCTTTCCACAGACGACTTTGTTGTCTCCTAAAGCCTGGACTGAATCATTACATTACATGTAATGTTGAAATTTTGACAACTTGTTGGGCATAAGAAGTCTGCAAAACTATATGAAAAGATGCTGAAACTGCTTTTCAAAATGAGCCACATGCAATTTTCTTTCCTTCTTTGCTGGACAATTTTGACCCATTACCATCTGAGGCAGCTGGATTCTTTATGCGATTCACAAGATCACGAGAATCCCTCTTGCCAGGTCAGCGAGCCCTGTGTCATTTC